AAAAAAAACATCTGCCAAAATAGGACGACGATAAAACGATTATTTCTTTTTTCAATTATTTCTTTTTTCGCTCAAACTATAACTGGGTTGAACGTAACTGACCGGTTTAGCAGATCTGTATTTGTTGAAAAACAAAATGCCATAGAAAGGTTTCTCTTATCTCTCTTATCGTAATGTGATATTGTTTGGTTTCATGAGATTTTGAAGTATATTTAATTTCACAAATGATGCTGTTAAAATTTGCATTTCATACCCCAGGGTGCATTTGTTCAAAAAAACACAAAAGACATTTCTCTTGTCTTGTTAATGTGATATTAATGAGGAGAGCAGTCTCCCCGCTATTATTTCCTTTCCCCGGAGCAGTATAGGTTAACTATAGCGGGCAAGCTGACCATAGCACTTAACGATACTAATTAAAAATTTAGAGGATAGAATTACTGACAGAGTCGTTACAAGTCAGTCCGGGATGGGACAAATACTGACGCGAAGAAGGAGCACTCGTTACAGAACAACGAGCCATACAACAAATCTTACAGATGGCTAGTTTGTGCCTGACTCAGTTGGCCATTGCGGCTATCAACATTATCTTTTTGATCTTATTTGTGGCTGCGAACACAGACTTTTGTGGAAACGTTTTTGAAACTCAAGTCGGTAAGTTAACACATGTAAACTGTGAAGAACTGAAGTCTTAAGCGCCACGTCATGCATGAGAGTTGGCCATTGCTATAGCTTTGCCTGGATTAAACGATCTTGGACGTTCGGTGACCGCTTATTTTCTTTAGATGGATCATTTTCTCTACCAATTTTCTACGTTCAGCGAAAAAATAAAGAAAATCTATCGGCTAGAAGTTTGAATTTTTTGTAAAATGCGCCATTGAATTCCGTTCTTTTTAGTTCTACGTTTATATGTGCGACGGTTTCAAATGCCTCTTGAAGGGTTAAGTTTTGTGAAATCGCTGGCAACATTTGAATTTATTTACGCAACAGACCCACTTCTATAAATTACGACTAAGATCCTTTTGCCTCCGTTGACTCACCTTCGATATTCTAAACTATAAACCTCTGTAGACCATGCTGAATTACGTGCGCCAACTTTTTCAAAATCAGGGTAGTTTCCACACGCTTTATCTCTGAAACGANTTTTTTTTTTTTTTCATTTCTGACACAAGTAACTCACTATCTGACCGCAGTAAAATTCACAGTTCACTCTTGGATGAAACAAAGAATCAACTCACATTGCTCCCTATGGCAATGGTATTACGTAATCTTTAAGGCTTAGTTATAAAAACACCCAGGTTTTTGCAAAGCTGAATATTTTTAACAGCCCTTAACCTAATTTTTTATATATTTTTATTTTACTCGGAGAACTGTCCACATCTAAACTGATTCGTTCTCTTTTCCTTCGACATGATACTGTACATTGACTGACAAAATATTTACTTTCTTTCTGCTTTCAGACCATGTAATACTTGGTCATGCCATGGACACGGTCACTGTTCTTGATGAGTTTGAATGTCAGCTTAAATGCATCGAAAATAAAAGTTGCAAGTCGGTTAATGTTCATCCAGATGGCAACAACGCACAACGACGCATTTGTGAGCTAAATAACAAAACCCGACAGATGAAGCCAGGAGATTTTAAATGGAAGAAAGGATCTACATACTATGGCTCTGTTCAGGTCAGTCGAATTAGTTGAAAATGAACTACCGTTCAGTTCACATAACCTAGTTTAGTTAAGGTTACAGTATACCTTCAGGGGTGTCTCGCGGTTAAGCGGTAGATACCTAAACCCCTATATATCAAATTAAAACTTACAGAGCTGGCTATCAAACTATACCAAGAATTTTGAAATAAATGAATTGTCGAATTTTTCACGACCACCAAATGCGAGCACCCGAATCACCTTTCGAAAGCTACACGTCAAAGCGAATTTCGTTTTTCGCCAATTTAATTTTTTCCTCGGTTTCAGGGCCCAATGCGCTAAGAAAGCGTGTCTGCGTTTTGCCATATTCAATCGCAGTAAAAAGTTACAGCACATTTTCGAAATAGGATTTAAAAAGCTGGAATGATCGTACAAAAATCGCTCTCGAAGAAAGAACATTTCAAAATTAACAATTCGCAGACAAGTTTACATGTTAAATTATATTATAATAAAGTTTCCATATAACGCGCGCACTGATTGGCTGAAAGAGCGTGCTTTATCAGAGAACAGAGCACGGGTTGATGACCGTAA